CGATTTGTATCCGTTTGAAATAATATTTTACCATTGCAATAAGTACTAGAAAAGACCATATTATCATGTTTACCAAACAAAACTTGTCCATATGCTTGCTGAATACTTTTTCGTCATTGAACTCGAGGAAATAAACAAACTATCAAAATATTGAACATTCAAATCAAACATTCAACAGAGAAGTAAATGCATTAGATCATTTTAATAAACCATTTTTTCAAAAGAGTCATTCAGGATTATTTTTTCTTTAATTGTTTTATCAAAGGTTTGAACGAGATGCACATATACAAGTGCATTCAATACTTTCGGATTTCACTGACATTTACGTGCATAGTCGATGCAAATAATACATTAGAAAGGATGTTTGTAGACTTTAGTCTGCTATCCAATGTAGATGCAAAGAAAATACATTAGAGAGGATGTATATAAGCTTTTAAATTAGTCTGCTATACAATCCATTTCACTTACCAACTAGTCCGGGCGGAATATTACAAATATAATATATTTCCTATATTTGTATTCACTGGGTGTAAGGTGCTAACAGAGAAAACTTTTTAGGTATTGATTAGAATCTTCTTCAAAACTGTTGACTAAAGTTATATACTAAACTGTAGGTTAGTGTTTACAATCACACCGTTGTTAATATAACACCATGCCGTAAACAGAGTCAGGTGAAAAAAATAATGTTACACTCGCTGACTCTTCTTTACTTATAAGGTGCTTATTTTTAAACAGAAAAACCTTGTCAGCTACAAATGTACCTACATTCCACTTTTATTAGAATAGCAATTTTAAGCAAGTAGTTGGTATAACATGCAAAGGCTAACATGGTTAACTCGATTCGATGTTACCTTCTTAATTGTTCACTGTCATATGAAAACAAACACTAATTAGTTATGTTTATGAATTTAGTCTGTAAATTGTTTACCATTTTCTTGTAACACTGTACATGTGATAGCTGGTTTCCCATTCTTTACTAACGGCATGACTGAAGTTATGTGCAGAAGATACCATTTTATTTTCATCGTAACGTCATTATATCTATTTAACTCATAATGCATTAACGGCGTATTGTGATGCATTGAACACCGATACTACAGTTCCAGAAAATAGAGGCGAAAGATACAAAAGGAACATTCTCAAACTCATAAGTCGAAAACGAACTGGCAATGCCATTGCAAAAAAAAAAACCGACCAAAACACACATAGAAAACTAGAGACAGAGAAACACGAATAAAAAACGGGTATAATCTCACTGAGGTGCAACTGACGGATAAGCAGACTCTGCTCCACATGTGTCACCTGTCGTATTGCTCATTAAAAAACACACCCGGTGCTAAGTCTACTTCGGTAGGTCACATTTGAGGAAAAAGGACGGGATCGTGGTTACAACAATTGTAACATATTCATCGTCATCTGTGAAACATATATTTCAAAACAGTTAGCCAACTCGTGATGCGTCTAAAATTTTCGAAGGGATGATTTCAACGTTACCACTTGGAACTCTTGGTTAAATAGCTTCCTTGTAAATAGACACCCACTATCAAGGAATTCGTAATAGGACATGCAAGCTCTTGAATATCGTATTAACTGGGAGATATATACAGCATAATTATGCTGATCTTCCTTGAATATTGCTACATAGAAATGGAAAGTTCACAGTTGAGTTGAGACGCTGAAAGCATCTCTTTTGTCGTAAAGTTTTGTTCTCAATCGACCCTCATTGTCTACTTCTAGATATGCGACAGACATAACTGCATCTGGTGTATCCTTTATTTCCAATATTGGAATAGATGTGTTCAACAAAGCCATCATACTTTGGATTATTTAGCTTTATGGCAGAACATGAAGTTAAAAGGATTATACTAGCTTATTTTTATTCTTCATAAGAAGCTCCTGTATCAAGTCTGCCTTGTATAAATAAAGGAAAAAGTCGGCAAGAAGAGGAGCTCAATTAAGTTAATATATGACTTAATGATCTATCATTTTTCCCATCACGTTAAGAATATCTCATGCGATTTCAAGTTTGAAAAGCTCATCCAATTCTTCTTAATTTTCAGCTCGTTTCTTTCCAATTCCATTTAATGCCCATAAGTATTTCATTGTATAATTTCATTTTTCAAAGATAAATCGTTTTATACATTGCTCATATATTTTCGTATATTTATTGGTAATGATAGGATTAAATCATCAACGAAAAACATGATACTGGAATAAATTCGCCACAGAATAACATAATATGTTCAAACATGTGTGGGTTTTTGTTTTTGATTTAATTTGATTTGGAAGGGACTTGCTGTAAATGTACTAGCGTCTGAGACAATATTATACAATTATTGTCTTTTGATGAGGTAAATGTGTGGTTTTATTGACTTTTGAAAAACTGATATTCAGTGAGGCCAACGGCCGAAGTGAATATCAGTTTGTCAAAAGTCAATTAAACCACAGATTTACCGAAACAAAAGACAATAATTGTTTTATTCCATATTCCGAGATAGTACCGAGAGAAATGTATGTAATGACAATTTTTTATCAAAACCAATTGTACATCAAACGATTTTAACATAATTATACACGTAAAAGCACGCGACGTTTTGCGTGGTGAATATACTTTTTCCGCAGGTGAATATGCTTATTTATTCAAAATCCAATTCATATAGAAAACCCTACTAAAGTTCTATCAATATGTAATAATCCAATTTACACTGAAAAATTACTCTAACAAGAGTGAATAAGATCGGGATTACTGTGTACACTTTCTGATTGGATATACAGCGGTCGATAATGGAGGGAAAAATACACTTATAATGTAAAAAATATAAACAACACGTTATAAATTTTATGCGTTCGAAGCGCTTTTCTAGATACATCTTCATCAGGGACGCTCAAAGCCGAAAATTTGAAAGCCGAGGGTGTATAAGAACCGAAACAGTTGAAGAACTATATGATCAGGGAAACGCGGTTATAGTTTTTCCTAATGTAAATATAGCTTAACCAAATAAGATTAACAAGACCAGCGATAGGACCAAATTAAAACATCAACTGTAAATGAATACCGAATACTTCACCTAATGAATGTAAACAGCAAAGAGGCACATATATGTATCTCATGAGATCCAAATACTTCAACCCATAAATACGAAAAGCAGAGGGACCAATTAGTATTTACGTATAAACATCATGAATAAAAACAACAGAGAAAAAAAATTAAACCTCATAAATAAAATAAAAAAGCAGACAGGATCAAATACATAACCTTATGAATAAAAAAGCTGACAGGATCAAATACATAACCTAATGAATAAAAGTTGCAGACGAGACTTGTCCTAATGAATTAAATAGCAGAGAGGACCAAATACGTAACAACAAGAATACAAAATCAGAGATGACCAAATACAAGACATGATAAACATCAGAGGTGACGAAACATAACTTAACGAATAGTTGAGTAGAGAGGATCAAATACATGTACCATACATTATGAATTGAGTAGAGAGGATCAAATACATGTACCATACATTATGAATTGAGTAGAGAGGATCAAATACATGTACCATACATTATGAATTGAGTAGAGAGGATCAAATACATGTACCATACATTATGAATTGAGTAGAGAGGATCAAATACATGTACCATACATTATGAATTGAGTAGAGAGGATCAAATACATGTACCATACATTATGAATTGAGTAGAGAGGATCAAATACATGTACCATACATTATGAATTGAGTAGAGAGGATCAAATACATGTACCATACATTATGAATTGAGTAGAGAGGAAGACCAAATAAAGAACCTCAATAACAAATTAGCAGGAATGACCAACTGCATTACCTCATAAATAAAATAGCAGAGAGGAGCACAAAATAAATAACATCGAGAGGGGGTCCTTCATTTCTGTATTCTTTAATTTTTTAGGCCATTTTTCTTTATTCATTATACTTTTTGCCCATTACTAGTAATTTCTATTTTTTCATTTCGTAGCACCTCACTATTCTCTATTCTTCACTTTTTTTGTCCATTATTCTCTATTCTGTATCCATCCACATCATCATAAAATGATGTAATTGCATGAATATTGATGAAATACCATCTCTCGTAGAATTATATTGAACTCGTGCAATATAAACATCTACTGGGGACAATATTCACCAATAATATTAATGCAATAAGCCTATATTAGCCCTCAGTTCTCTTCAACTTCGTACTTTGATTCGAGCGTCACTGCTGAGTCTTTTGTAGACGAAACGCGCGACTGGCGTACAAAATTTTAATCCTGGTATCTGTAATGATTTTATTTAGTAATACTTTTGGTTTATTGCTCTTCAGTGTCTGTACTTTTCGGCATTCGGTGTCTAGTCCACATTGGCAAGGCTATTTTAAAATGGCATAAAATCAATGATCTATCATAATCTTTTTCGTATGTTTTTTTAATGTATATATTGTCAATGGAGCAGTAAAACATGGTAATAATAGTTATATACCATACCAGACATAAGTTTATCAGATTAAAAAACGGGAAGTTTATAAGCCATACATATAACGTTCGTTACCTTAATCTATAATCTATCATAATATCACCCTACCACGAATCATTTCAAGGTCATATGATATGGAAGATGGGTCAGATAAGCCAAGCACACTCGTCACCTTGCGATTGGAAGAGGGGAATGAGCATCGCCGTTTCAACTTCATCCTACATAAAAAAAACAGTTTTACCCCTACATATATTCCGAAGTCAGGAACCTCTTCAAAGGTTGTCTCACCAGTATTTCATATATTTATTTTTTTGTTATTTCTAAAATGTAATATTGATATTAGAACTTTACCTTGATAGTTTCTGTTTAACTTGTTCATACACTTTTTAGACCCACTTTGAGATTTACGGATTGGAAAGACACAAGACTGTAAGCTGTCGTTTGGTTTGTGTCTTCTTGACGTAAATATGCCGCACCTTTTATTTATTTATGCATTTTCTTTTTATATACTTACAGATAAATACGGCGCACTGGTAAAATTCAACGAGAAAGGTGATGCTTTAGGAAGATACAATATCATGAATTATCAACTTAATAGAAATACACGATTATATGAGTACGTGTTAGTTGGAAACTGGTCTACTTCGCTGGAGCTTGAGACAGAAAAGATCGTCTGGGCAGGCGGAACAAAAGATATCCCATCGTCAAGGTGCAGCAGGCCATGTGAATACGACGAATATAAGCATGTTGGAAAAAATGGAAACTCGAATCAGTGTTGTTGGATGTGTATCAAATGTAAAGAATATCAATATTTAAAAGATGAGTTTACTTGTAAAGAGTGTGGCTATGGTGAATGGCCGGATCTGGATAAAAAAGGTTGCCATTCTCTCGCTGAGAAATACATGCAATGGAATACAATTTACGCTATAATCCCAATCGTTTTAGCATGTGTGGGGCTATTTTCAACATGTACTGTTATAGTCACGTTTTTCAATTTTAGAGACACGCCCATTGTAATGGCGTCAGGACGCGAACTTAGTTATATGTTGTTGTCAGGTTGTATTTTGTGTTATTTAATAACATTCGTGTTGATAGCAAAGCCTTCCACCTTTATATGTGGAATTCAAAGATTCGGTGTTGGCTTTGGTTTTTCTGTGATGTATTCCTCGCTACTGACGAAAACAAACAGAATTTCTAGAATTTTTGATAGTGCTAGACGGTCTGCACGGAGACCGCCATTTATAAGTCCAAAATCACAAATTGTGATAGCTAGTATTCTCATATTTATACAAGTATTATTCACTGCTATCTGGTTAGTATTAGAAAGACCAGGAACCAGATTGTATACTCCAAATGAGCGAAGGGATGAGGTTATCCTGAAGTGTAGGACAGACGATATATCATTCCTCATGTCATTAGTGTATAACATGCTACTTATTATCATATGTACATACTTTGCTATTAAAACAAGAAAAATCCCGGAGAATTTCAACGAATCCAAGTTCATCGGATTTGCCATGTACACTACATGTATAATTTGGTTAGCATTCATTCCGATATATTTTGGAACTTTAAATTCATTCCAGGTAAGTTTTTAATTGTTTATGTTTGACGATCATTATGGTGCAAGAACAAGCGTTGTTTTAGAAACAGAATTTCGAGGAAAAGATCTCAACAATGTTATCTGTATCAAATTATAATATGGCGATGTGGTATGATTGCAACAAACCACCAGAAACCAAAATGGCGAGTGTATAATCAACTATTGGTCATCATACGCCAACAATAAGCAAAAAAAAAATACCATATATTAAGCTTTAGCGTTTTTTTACATAGTTAAATCGGAGTATGAAAAATTCAAGAAAAATGTACAAACGTTCAAATACACTTATAATATAAAGAAATCAAGCTAAACAAGCAATGTATGTCTCAAACTAATTATTTTTGTTGTGGTACTGCACCAAAAACTGTCATCTTCAACCATGCCATATTCCAAAACTACACCTTTCCCATTCTTTTCAGCATATAACTACCGCCATGTCCATCCCTGGTCAACATATAACTACAATTATGATGACAATTAAAAACATAAACTTTTAAACAAACTGAAATAGAAATTAAATTTGTGTTCTTACACTATTTTTAGACATTTTCAACTACCCCGGATACAAACGGATAACTCTTGTCGTGTTCCTATACAACGTATACTACTGGGTAACTCATGGCGTGATCTAGAACTGGTTACATGAACTTTGAACAGGCTGTATACATTTTGATAACCTTTTTTAAACTATTCTTTAGTTTCATGCACTTGCGATCTGAATGTTTAAAACAGTTTTACTCCTGTTATATTCTTACATTGGCTACATGCGCTTCTGACCAGGTTATATACAACTTTGGAACTCCTGTTAGTTATTGTTTTCCATTGGTTACATGCAATTTCAACCAGGCTGTTTAAAACTGGGTTACTCCTGTTATGTCAATTCGATGGCTGATCGCATTTTCAACTAGGCTGTATACAACAGGTTTACTCCAGCTATTTTGTAGCATTAATTACATGCACTTTTGACTAGATTGTATACAACGTGGGAACTCCCGCTATGTTCTTTCAGTGGTTGATTGCACCATAGGCTGTATACAACAGATTTACTCCTGTTATGTTCTTTCATTGGTTGCATGCATTTTGGACCAGACTGTATACAACTGGGTTATTCCTGTTATGTTCTTTCAGTGATTGAACGCATTTTCGACCAGGCTGTTACTAACTGGGTTACTTCTGTTCTTTCCCTGGTTGCACACACTTTCGACCATGCTGTATACAACTGGGTAGCTCCTATGATGATCTTTCACTTGTAGCACGCATTTTCGACAACGCTGTAGTCATTTGGATTTCTCTTGTGTTGATCAACGCACTTTCAACGAAGCCGTATAAAACTTGGTTACTCCTAATTATTCACTCGTTGCTCCCACATTCGACCTGACTGTATATAACTGGGTTACTCCAGATATTTCAGTAATTGCTTGAAAAAATCGACAAGGCTGCATACAATTTGGGTATTCACTGGATGCACGCACTTTCGACTAGGCGGTATACAACTGGGTTATTCCTGTCAGTATCCTACACTAAATACATGAACTTACAATGGATAATGTCATGTTCTCATGTTTAGGCTGAAGGTAAATTTACCCCAAAGATCGCAAATCAAGCATCGCTCTTAAAACATGGCATAAAAAAAGAAATTCTAGGGCCGTATGGAACAATATTCTTGCATTATTTTTATATAGATTATACCTATAGATGTTCGTGTACCTACCTGACTTAATGTTTTGTATTAGGAATCACTTGATAAAAGACTAAAAAAATAAAATATTTGCGATGAAGATACTAACCAACGGGTTCCCAGGATTAACTTTTAGAAGTTTTACGATACAATCATCTCGACTAGCAAGTTGGTATCTGTTAGATAGAAAGCAAAGAATTTGTTTCCTTCATTTTATAATGATAACTACTGATGGGAATATTTATCTTATATGATATGTTTAAAATAGTTTGTTAATTCTAAATTATCGCCTGTAATCTTGAAGATTCATGTCAGATAGTCAGATGCTCAGTAGTCAGTACTTCGGTCCTGACATGTATATAACAAACCTTTCTTAAATTGTCCGTTAATAAATTTGAAATAATTAGAACCTAAGGTTTCAGCTCCCTCAGGCAAAGTTGACCTTAGATAGATTTGGCTAATTTTTTATAGGTCCCTTTTGATAATATAGTTCTTTAATTAACTGTTTCGGTTCTTGGTCATCCTTGGTTTTCAAATATTCTGCTTTGAGCGTTTCTGATGAAGGTAAATCCAGAAAAGCGCTTCGCACGCATAAAATTTATAATGTGTTGGTTTCATTTTTTTTCAGATGCAATATCCTTTTTAATGCCCTTTTTTCCTTAGGTTAAGTAAAGCATTTAAAATATGCAGCATTTTAAAAATAAATCCAATTTAATCTTTTAGTGCGAACTGAACTTATCTAATAACAAAATAAATCGAGAAATTACATCTACTATTAAAAAATGGGCAATTGCCCCATATATATTTATCTTACCCCCTATACATTTCTAGGAATATGATTGGTTAAAAGCAACCGCGTGGAGGCCGTGTATATGTCATATGGGGTTAGTCGGCGTGGTTTATTTCAATACACGGTTAGTAGTGGTGTTATGTCACTTTGTAAAATCAACACGGTGTTGAGGAAAAATCTGAAAGGTTTCAACAGACGAAGAAATTGATGATGAACGATTGAAATAAATTCATAAAAGACATTAAAAGCTAACAAGTTGTTATTGTTGGCATTTGTTTTTGTATAGACCTGTGGAAGTAGGTTCTTGATATTGAAGACTTGATCACTTTGATATGCCACTAGTCTAAATACCACATGTTAAGTTAGTAGGTAAGATAAATTCATTACACAGTGTGCTAGTGAACTAATACGTTATATATGGGGTCAGTAAATTCCATATGGGGATTCGAGCTTCTCACCCCATATGGAATTTACTGACCCCATATATATCGTGTTAGGTCACTAGCACACTATGTAGCTAATAATGCCAAACCCTGGGACTAAATACTCCCTCGAATGTTGACAATTTTTCACAGACAAGAACTTGCACCTGTGTGGATATTTATCTATAGATATATATAGTCATATTACAGGTAAACATTTAATTTCTTATTTCCTGTCTTATACCGTTGTCTATTTTTATTGGACATGGTATTTGATTGCACCGTTGGTATTTTCAATCTCTTAATAAAATTCTAAATTCAACTGCAGACTAAAGGTATATATTTTCGACATGTTTCTTGGAATTATGGATCGAAATAACTATTTTTGTCCAAATAAAACATTCCAGATATTGTCGTTCTTTAAAGGAGTACAGTTGTGATATAAAAATATTTTATAATATTTACTTGCTATTCAGAATATAATTAAAATTAATTGCACAATTATAAGCCCAAAAAATATATTAATCAAACATCACATTGGGACCTATGATAGCTTACTAAACATTATGGAATTTTCTCATTGTTGAAGGTTGAACAGTGATCAATAGTTGCTTACATCTACGTCATTTGATCTCTGGTGGATGGTTGTCTCATTGCAAATTTTTCCTACTCTCCTTATTTTAAACAGTTTTGTTATAACGCAAAACTGCTACAATGTTTCTATATTAGTATGACTATTTAATGTGTTTTCATTATTTCTATCAAGAGACGGATCATTCGTTAACAAGTATCTATTTATCCACCATCAATGAAATCTGCAGTACCAATGATGATAAAAGGTCTAAATTATTTTGTAATCTTTTCCATCTGCTACAACCAGTTATTCCTTGTACTCTATGGACCATTTTGTTATCAGAACAATTTCATGCCTAGATAGACACGGAAGATCTGTATCGATTCCTGACTTGACATGGGGTTATATCATCTTATGAATCTACATTTTTATGGACAGCCTGTTCCGTTTAATTTCTTATTAAATGGCACCCTACTAAATAGAGAGGTTTTATTCTGATTGCGCTAGGTCAAAGCAATAAGTTTACATTTATAAAAGAAACCGATATCGATATGTGTTTGTAATTGATTGTCTTATTATAGAGGTTTGTTCAAGTATTCCCAGGAGAATTGAATGATCTTCCAAATAAATGTCTTAGTTTTTCTCGGGGTTAACTAAATTTGTCCATCAACTGTTAAAAATGAAAGTAAATGAAATTTGAGAAATTGAAATATTTGAACATTTATCAGATTTGATTCTCAAAACGGAAGTTTTGTAACGCTATACATTGATGGTAATAAAACAAAGCTAGACGAAGACGACAGATTAGCTGTAACCATGTTACCCAAGACACTAAATTTATTATAACCTTATTTGATTAATTCATTTAAGTTATACAAGTCTGTGAAGAAATCTTTAATATTAGATCATCTTGGCAAATTATGCCAACCACCTAGACAGGTCTTGGACGAGTTTCTTTAACACATGAAAATCCCAGTATCTTTATTGATACTGTTAAATAAAAGAAACTAATATAAAAAGAAATAGTCCGATACTTGTTATCGCTAATTGATTACGGGCATGATAAGACTGGTATTTTTATTGTTTTAATCAGTATTCTACATTGACATAAGACGGCAGCTATACGCCTCAGTACGCTTTAAACTAATATAGGAATCTGAGTTTAGATGATTTATAAAAATAAGAAGATGTGGTATGATTGCCAGTGAGACAACTTTCCTTCATAGATCAAATTACGTAGATGTTAGCAATTGCAGGTCACCGTACGGCTTTCAAAAATTAGCGAAACCCATACCGCATAGCAAGCTATAAAAGGCCCCGAAATGATGAATGTAAAACAATTCAAACGAGAAAATTTAACATCCGGATGTATGTACAAAAACAATAAACGTAAAAACAAATATCATATACAGCAATAAACGACATCCACTGAATAACAGGCTCCTGATTTGGGACAAGCACATGCAGAATGTGGCGGGTTAAAACATGTTTATGAGCGCCCAACCCTCCCTTAACCTATGACAGTAGTGGAACGTTACAGCAAAACATAAGAGCAAACTATAAGAATCAGTTGAAAAGGGCTTAACTCATAAGATCGATACGAAGCACAAAGTATAGATCTGAGAGTACTCGCAGTCAATGAAAGCTATATAAGATGTGCCAGTATTTTTGGGGAAAATATATAGATGTATAAAGAAATCTTAAGAAAATGAACGCAATAGCTACACAAGTAAACAATACCAAATTAATCACTAGTAAACGAGTTTTAGTCTGAAACGGTCATTTTGATCTTGACATCACCTGAAAAGTCTGAACAATAAATTATCAGACGATTGGCTTGCAGTTAATTCAATACTGTTCAGTAATTTTTCAGACAATTCAGTATATTGTTGATCTGTACAGGTAAATAACAACTACTGACCAGTCTGAACATAGACTGAACAGATCTTAATTGACTGCAAGCGAATGGTTTGAACAGTATTGAAATTACCGCAGTGGACAAGTCTGGAAATTGAATGAAAAACTGAAAATGACCTTATCATTTATTGTTTAGTCTTTTAAGAGTTGTTCAGATCATAATTACAATTTCAGACTAACATTTGTTTACTATAGTGAAAACAAAAGACATATAGGTGTTTACGCACTGTCAATCTTTTATGTTACTCTATACTTTAAGCCATTTTCTAATTGCCACGAATAAAGACAGCTTTTAACTGAATCGTATACAGGTTAACATCATCACAATATTCCTACATTGACAAAATCTTAATGAATTATAAAAAAACATCCTGACATAAGACAGTCAGATACACTACCATATGGCAACGGTGTATACCCAAGCTTCCCTCTTTATCGATTAGCGAAAAAACAAACAACTGAACGTAGAAGAAAGACCACATTTAAGTGTAACTAAGAATCTGCGTTAAACATACCCCCAAAAAGCAGCAGCCAAGACAAAACAAACAACAACAGCTATATATAAAGAATTATTTACGACATAAGTATACCTTGATAATGAACTCTTGCAGTTACAATGTAATGAAAGTTTTACTCAAAGTACCTTGTCTGTCGATATAAAAAGTATGCGTACTAACAGTCTAATATCGACAACTGCCCTTTTAAATTTATGTCATACTGGAACGTCATTGGTGATACAGGAATCATAACCCGATTTACTTGATAAATTTCTTTTTAAAATTAATATGCCCATAGCATTGAAATACAAACAGTTTTACTTAAATAGACCTTTCAGCCCATTTTCAAACTGTGAATAAGTGAATTGAGATCAATCCGAAAAATACAAGACACAGGGATTAAACATAGAATATGATAGTTATAACCTTTGTCAATAAGTCTGTTTAGTCGAAAATAAGATTGCAAAAGCAACACTTAAGTCTATATACCTTATGAATATGTTAACTATAAAAAGGTGATTGTGAAAAATGGATTTTACATTTCATTTAAGGAATTTGAACCTTTCTTACGGTAAGCAAATATAAATGTGATCTGCAGTAAAAAATTATATATTTGCAATAAGGCTTTTTATGCTTAATGAAATATAAGTCAATTAATTAAAGAGGCGAGGTTTTCCCCCCAATTATTATTGTATTTTTTCCCTTGTGCGTAAAATATTTGCCACTGGAAACCAAAAAAAGCCAATAATCAATCTTTTCTGCGTTAATGGTTTGTTTTTTTTAACGTGTACAGACATAAATCTGAAGAATATGTTAAGTGCACTTGGTGTTGTATAAAATTAGTGAAATCCATAATAATTGTATTTGTCTTTTGTTCACAGATCCAGATAACAACATTAAGTGTGTCTATCAGTCTGAGCGCAACAGTCATTCTAGTGTGTTTGTTTACGCCAAAAATGTACATTATAGTCTTCCATCCTGCCAAAAATGTTCGAAAACTAACTATGAATTCAACAAGTACAAAGAAACCACAGTTAACTACTAGTTCTGTACTAAACAGTAACAATTACGGTTAGTATTATACATTTATAAGTAGTATATGTATGGCTAGGGACTCGTGGATCATTTTATTCTAGCAATACGATGTAGAGATTTCAACTTATTTCGATAATTTTGATAAGATCTGATATTGTATTGACCTTTGTTTCATTGATATCAAAATCAATAGTTTCTATTCGAATACAAAAGATGCGTTCATTTGTAATACGCTTAAATCTGATAAAGTTTTTAAAAAAGACAAGAAAAAAAAACAAGCAAAATTCAACAGCTGGTCAAAGTCGTCTAGTTTATTGTTATATTGAGCTGCTGCTTTGTAATGGACCTTTTATTAATATAGTGGCCTTAAAGTCGACATTTATACTCTCTCGATATAATATTCCAACTATTCAAATAATCAAAAGACTTGAAATCTTTATCAGTTAATAACGTATAGCAATGCAATAATTGTATTTGAATATGAGCATTACCTGACATCTTACAAACAAAGCAAAAACATTAAATGTAAAAAGCTTCAATTATAACAAACAAAAGAAAGTTTAAAGAGAATGAGCTCCTCCCTCTGATAATCTAAAACCATTTGAATCTCGTGGCTACCAATCGCTAGTACACGAGTGCATTCAATCTGATGTTATATGGGTTTGAATAAGTATGTACATGTAGATGCATGTACTTAAATGCCATTTCAACTTAAATGGAAGAAGGAACAAATTACTTGAGGATTTGTCTGCATTATTTAACGGAGAACTATTAATTATTGCAAATATGTTCTGTCGGAAACTATCTGTTATGTTAGTTGACACGTCTCATTGATTAATAAAGAGAAATGTTATAATTGACTTCTGAGAAGAATTATACTTTATACAAATGTATTGTCTAATATTGTAATACAATAAATACAATCTAATGAAGTGTTTATTGTTGATGATTGATTTGCTCTAACTTCCCTCTCCATTGTTATCTAAAGTTATTATTTATCAATATTTCCTTACTTGGAATTAATTAGTATTTCGAAGTCCGATGGTAGTATATATATTAGCGAGGGATGCTGGCTCACTGCTAGTCAGCCGACCCGAAGCAGAGATTAGTACACGGTCCAAGACCTGCATTTGTACAGTTGATAAGGTTATAAATGATGTTCGCTGATCAAACTTAATATTTTGGAACCCCTCTGTCTTCTTCCTAATCTAGCAGAAGCTCTTTTATTAGGACCCTGCCGAATGGCGGACGCCCTATAGTGATCAGTCTGTCCGTCCGTCCGTCCGTCTGTCCGTCCTTAACAAATTGTGTCCGCTCTATATCTAGAGAACCGTTATGATTTCAAAGTTTATACTTGACATGTATATTGACCAACACCAGAGGGTGTGGCATAATGTATGTACAACTTCCTAGGTCAAAGGTCAAGGCCAAAAACCTTGGTTTTAGTTGACAACCCCATGTCCTATGGTAAAAATCGTGTCCGCTCTATATCTTGAGAACCGTTATGATTTCAAAGTTTATACTTGATATGTATACAAACCAACACCAGAGGGTGTGTCATAATGTATGTACAACTTCCTAGGTCAAAGGTTAAGGTCAAAAACTTTGGTTTGAGTCGACAACCCCATGTCCTATGGTAAAGATCGTGTCCGCTCTATATCTTGAGAACCATTATGATTTCAAAGTTTATACTTGATATGTATATAAACCAACACCAGAGGGTGTGTCATAATTTATGTACAACTTCTTAGGTCAAAGGTCAAGGTCAAAAACTTTGGTTTCAGTTGACAACCCCATGTCCAATGATAAAGATACACATTTTTTACCACACATTATTCACAGCGGGGCCCACAGAGATGGCTCCCATCTCAATGATATCTAGTTACTCATTATGTACCATGCATGCACTATAGGTAAAATATTCAAAAAATAATTAGGCAACAGTTAAACATTTATTTCTTCTTTTTTCAAATGCCTGTATTCTAAAATTACAATCGATTACATTGGCCTATTTATTAATTGCTTTAATTTTGGTGTAAGGTATCTCATCAATGGAAAAGAAATTCAATTATGAAAAAGTTGGATTTTTTTTTAGATTTCTACTGTACACATCATAAAAGGCTTAAATTAAACCATAAAAATATCATCTGAACCGCATTATTATGTTACAGTAACCAATCTAATTAAAATACAGATCCTAGTTCCCCACTTTGCTTACAAGGATCTGACATCACAATGTTCTACTTTCTGTTCTGGTAACTACTAGCCAATGAAATTTGTGAATGTGTGTACTTTTAAGACTAAACTACAGACTCCGAAAGGTCTTTAAAATAGTAAGTAAAAATATGCGTTGTTAGATCCTTGTAAGCTAGGCGTGGATACAGGATCTGTATTTTAATGAGATTGTAACTGTAAGATTGATTGATATATTTTTGCTTGCTTAACGTCTATTGGCAAATGTTTAATACATTTTCAGGACGGGGTTACATTAAAAATGAATTCATAAGGAAGGTTTTCAAGGTTGCTACTGAAAAAGGGTACACATGTTTGTTAGGATATACATACATACAATCTGTAATCTATGAATAGGTATTAATAGCATATATCGTTTTATTTTTAATTCAATGATTAAATTTTTGTAGAGACTCTTGGCACCAAAACCATTTTGATTCAGTTTGTATATTGGCAAATGTATTGTTCAGCTTGATGCCAATGGAACTTTCAAAGAAACCTTAAAAACAGATAAAATTCTAAATTCAATGTAGATTAAAACGTATATTAAATAATCTTTAGGAAAATGTTTCTTTAAAGCTGCATGTTCTCTGTAATTTTCCATGTAAAGCACCAATTAGAATTAGAGTTGGGCGAAATGAATCAATTGTATCTTTCAGAATTGAAAATTAAGCATTAAGTTTCGAAAGAAATGGCACATGACGTCATTTTAAAGTTGTTTTTTTTTAAATCAACATTCACTGAGCTGAATTAGCGTTTGAAGATGAACCTACAGTATACGTTGGTGATTAATAGTGTTAAACATCAGTCCTATTGGGCATTCAATTTTCATTAGTACAGAATAAAGGATTATGTATTAATCACTTATATTACATTACGCGTAGTGTTTTCACAGAAGGGAGTGATACACTTAGCGTATTCGTTCTGTTTAATTGTTAATTATAGAATTAATTCGATGTTTTTTTAAGACTTCGATTTCTGAAAAGTACATCGCTTCAAGTTTCTGTAGTTTCATTCCATGAAACACAGAAATCCATCATGGCTAATTGTCTTTTTCTGTAACCTGAACGTTTAAGTATTTGGTTTTCTGGAAAGAAGAAATCAATAGATGAGAATGCATGGCATTTAGGTGCAGTAAATGTAATTAAACATAATGAAAACGTTTTAATTGATATGGAAAATTAATATTTTAGATAAGTAATGAACGCTCACATATTATATTTGTACATTTTTAAATCAATCGTACTTGATGAAGGTTTGTTGTTCAATCTTGAAGTACATACTGATACATATTGGTAATCTATGTCAATTTCACCCACAACTTGTCGATTCCCTGGAGTAATTAGAGTTTAGCTTAAACATATAATATTTCATCAAAAATACATTATACATGGAATACATCATATAAATTTTATCTAACGGGATTTGGCGACAAGATATGGAAACTTTTACAAATCTCATCTCCTGTAAATTAGAGATTTACATTCAGCATTGACGCTTGTTTTTTGTCAACAACCATTACACATTAATTAATCTTTACGTGACCTTTAATGGCGTTGTTTTGGTTGCTCTCTTATATGCATATACTCTTGACTCCTTTGATTTATGTTTGAATATTTTGCTTCGCACACAAGTTTGTCAGAGTCAAATACATTCGTCTTTACTCCTTGTTTTGAACCAGCACATGTATCGTCACTTTTCGGTGGCAGCATATTTCCTGAAGACAATTTCATTATATTGGTATGTACCTAATTTGAAATGTAAATTAACATACATAGGGAAATTAAAGTTTTTATTGATATTTCTCGAAGCACATCTAAACAAAACGTCCATGCGTATTTAGAACGAGAACCAACACAATAGATATCCAATAGGAACATTATATGCTGGATAACTCGAAATTTAATTTCGTTCTTTTTCTCTGCCCTGAGGACATGCTGAAATCAAAATTACGCCTAAACAACTATTACAGTGATGATTATAAACAAAATCTCCAGTTATCTCATAAATAGAAATTCAACTTAAATTTAAAAAAAATCTGGTAAATTCCTTTATCTAATCTTACCTATGTGTTATGTATCCTTTTCAAAGAACAAATTATTTTCATTATATCATTAAATACTTGATAACTCGAAATACAATTTCGCCCATTATTAAGGTATTAGACAAATAGGAATTTTCCTAAACATTTCGTACCGAAAAGGTGTTAATAACATAGTAATGTTCATCGTTCTATCTCAAATGGTGTAAACTGTGTCAATGGACAATCCATATTTCGGTTTTATACACTTTGAGATTCATACTTTTTTAACCTTCGAGTATAATGCTCCGTGGGTGGCACACAAATCTCTATACCATTGAGCAATATGAGCAGGTACCGGTTACTATAGGAAACTCTTTAGCCGTTATTTGTGCCTTTAAGAGAGATATAAAAATTTCGAAAATATAATTTAGTTTTAATATTATGCTGCGGTTCTCGATACCACTTTGTTGTTTGCTGAGATTGTCCTAGCTATTATGTTCAGACAAACAGCGCACATTATTACGTCCGCTTCACTGAGCACGGGAATAACCAGAAAGAGATTATGTCAAGTAGACGAGTGTCTATACAATGACTAAGCTGTAAATAACATTAATTGACTTGTTTTCGTTTTATCCCGATTATTGAAAAAAAAATGAATAAATATAAACCTTTTACCACGATACATTTTACTGTCGTACAACAGAAAATTATTGTCTAAACTTCCTTGATAAACAGAATCTACATTTTTCTCTAGACTAAAATGGAGTAATTAGTCCTAATAGCCGATATGATCGTAAAAGAAGCTGTGAATAAAATGTGTTCTTCTTCATATAAAATAAAATGGCAATAGAATTATATTTTCCACTTGTTAGAATTTACATAAAATGTTCAAAAAGTGATTACTTCCTCTGATATGAAAGTTTTATGACTAAATAATATCATAATTATGGTAAGTTGCAATAATGTTGTATTAATCGGTTTTATATTAAGTTCACATTTAAATTTCTTCATTTTTTTTTTCTTAACTTTCGAAAGGCACGAAATACTTTTTTTTTTATTGAGGAAGGATCATTTATTGACGATATCATCTTTAATTTACGAACAAAAACACAAACAAGGATTTTAAGCATTAAAATATTAATCATGTAATTTGACGAAATGTTAGAATTTTTAAGTTGCCGTAAACGAATACTTATTATATAATAAACTGTAGATAGGTGGACTATTTCGGTAAAATTCAGTCCTTTTAATTCTTCAAATGAAACTTTTTTTTTCGATATTAGGATAATCTGAGTATTGACTGTTGGAATGTCAGTAAAACGAGTAGCATATTATTTTTTTTGTTAAATGAATTATACATACACTTTTATAGCGTATCTGCATCTACCTTTTATAATTGAATGTTTTGTTGCTGTTAACTTAATGTTCGGTGGCAAGTATTTCATGTTTTTTTTCAGAAGAGACGTAATAAGCAAGGTGTGTTTCGGTTCCCTCAGGAAGATATAAGTTACGTGTATTTGTTAAATGCAAAAGAAGGTGCAAAAATAGACGATGTTTTAGAAAAAAGATAAAAAAAAATCAAGTTTCTCGAAACTTTATTTCACAACCAGAACCATTGAGGTTTTGTATACTTGATAGATTCGACGTTATATTGGATATAATGCGTTATGATTTATTTATTCAATGTCATTTCAAAGTCTCTAAATTAAAATATGATTTCACGAGGAAATAGAAACATATTTGATTTCTTTGCTTTACAATGAAACCACCTGGATCACTTTACCAGGCTTTAATTAAAATCTAATACATGTATGTTAACAATAAATTTCATGTTAAACCCATTGGTTGATTATTTTTTTGAATGGTATAATGTAAATACACGACTATTTTTATGATTGGATTTTTAGAAACAATGAACCAAATTTTCATGGCGTTGTCAGATTGTTGTGAATATCACTTCGGTATCTTCCGCCTCTCTTTAATGTAACATACTACTTAACTATGTCACACCAACACCTCTTTACATGTTTTTAATAGATTGATATGTATCTATTTGATTTTCATTTTAGGTGTAGCACTTAGGCAATCAACAGCATCTGCCACATAGTTTATAGAAACATGAAATAATTGATAAATTTGGCTTTGAATATTTACAGATGGCAGTGCTGGAGAACGAATAAAGTTAAGTGTAAATTATGATGAAAGATTTGGCGTGACTACAACAGAGAAGGAAGGCGAGACAGAAAATCTTGATATGTTATGATAGCAGACTGGATCTTTCTTACAAGACAAGTTGATGACTGACACACAGACAATTTGTTTTGTTAAACTCACGGACTAAAAATCGATCGAATTCAGAATAAACTCGCCTACATTTAATTTTTATACAAAAGAAGTGTTAGACAAGCTTTATTTCTCTGAATTGATAAACATGTCTTTTTGTTAGTTATAACCATGTATTTGGTACTTTAATGTTTAAATAAATTCAATTGCAAAAGCAGAAAAAATATGAAGTTTAGTATTTACATGTACATGTATCTCTTTTCCGTTTTAGGGAGACAAGTAGACTGGAAAAGAACACAAAATTATTTTTTTTCCTCGAGTAGCAATACAAGTAAGAGCAAACGGCAAACATATCATTCTGAATTGATATTGTTCAATGATTTTGCTGCGCAGGTTTCAGTTTTATCATGATTACATCGATGCGCAATGACTCTTAAATTCCCTTTTTATCGATTGTAAAGAAGTGACAACTGTAGGTATTCTGTCTGGTACTATGATTTAAAAAGATTTTGTCCATATAAAAATAAGAATAGAAACATATTTATTTAGTTGAAGAGACACGGCTGACTTTTAACTGTTGTATGTCATTTTGATGTCATCTCATCAATAATTTGTGCATATAGAGAGAGGGTTTCAATATAAATATGAGATGTAAATCTCAAGGGCAATTAATCACAGATCGAAATTAAAGTGTTACAAATTTTTTTGTTTGCTTTAATCAAAGATAATTATGTCCCCAATATTTGTAAAAACATGGCACATATTTATTTGTATCTTTAAGCATCTGCCGATATATATGTTTTAGTTGTTTTTGTTTCGTTATCTTCATCTCGTGATGTCGCCACATTAAATTTCAATCAATTATTTATTTATTTTTCACGATATTAATAAAATTATTTATCTTTGAATATCATCATTTTATTATACAGTCATTATAAATGATAGATTTTTTTAAAATAAAACTAATTTATATTGTATATTTATATTTATATAGCGTTTTTAGTACAGAAATGTGAACTCAATTTTACACATGTATATGTTTATTGAACATCGTCTTGCCAAAACTTTTTTTTTGTATTAAATAGTATATTTTAGACAACTGAGTAGCTGACCGATGTTTAAATCTCACACGTCGATTAAAATTAAAGGGGCATTATATATACATCTGTCAAATTCATGTTCACCGATTTGACTCAAATTCGACTTATAACATACTAAAACGCATATTCAAATTATAAAAAGTCTAAAATAAACAAGCTACGGTGCATACACTCGATAGTATATATCAGCATTTCGTGTGCATTTTAGTCTAGACGCCATCTAATTAACCATTGAGGTGACCTCCGAAGACTGCCGAAGGTCATATAACCCGATATAAACGTAAACATAGATATAAATAGATTGCGAACTCATGCAATCGGATTTTTCTAGGTCTGTTTTATTTCATATTATAGGTTAAAAATATATTAATTATCGTTTTTACCTGTATAAGAATGAGTTTTTCTAGATCGAATCAGTCAACCAAATGGTTTACCCTTGTTTCACTTCCAATGTTTACATTCTTTTCCATTTAATAACTGAACACGCCTAGTTCATGCGTAACCCCTCTCTAGCTCTAGGAATCAATTAAAGTTCACATGAATACGGATTCAATGAGGTAGAATTATTCACTGTCGATGTTTCTTTGCTTATTTTGAAAAAAACTGAACCAAATATTATTTCACTATTTCACTTTCATTAATGATTGAACAAAAAAAATCATATTTTATTTTTTTTATATCTCGTAGCTAATGCCCCGTTAAGACAAATCTAGGTTAACAACAAAAACTGATGGTATAGCATGGACGAGAGGAGCGAGACATGGTGTGTCAACAGGGTAAGCGTCTCTTGCTTTGATGCTTCATCCACCATGCGAATCCGCACTCAATCAAAATGTCACGATTGAGAAGGACAAACATTGGTGAATTACGGATTAGGCGACTATTCTGATATCTAATTAAAGGGATTTAAGACTGCAAAAACAAGTCGCTAGTGAGTTGTGGTAAAGATATATTGTATCGGTCAACCAATTCGAGATGGTGACCTTAAACTTGTGTAATGTCGATTTCAGTCATTCTTACTCACACTCTGTTGGAGCACTATTGTGTAAGGAGCATATATAGTGGTTCTTTTTACCAAGATTTTGTAGTTTTTTTTTGTGATCATTATCATCATTATGATTAACCAAAGACTACATGGTGGGTATCTTTTCCGTTAAAGAATGATAAGAATGCATGCCTGACAAATTTTTATATGTATTTGAGAATCTATCGGCTGATATTGCTTTTAAGAGGGGAAATAAGTTGAAAACCATTTCATGAACTGTTGATTGGACGCATTGTGGTTTACCAGTGTACGCCGTAACACAACTGACATTACTGGTTCCCTATTGCATGTATGTTGCTTGGACGTATTGGGGTATACAAGTGTACGCCGGAGCACGTCTGACATTACTGGTCCTCCATTACATGTCTGTTGACTGGACGTATTGTGGTTTACCAATGTATGCCGGATCACGACTGACATGTCCTCCATTGCATATCTGTTGGTAGGACATATTGTTATATACGCCGTAACACGACTGACATTACTGAACCGTCTGCTGCAATACATTATTTGTTTTTGTTTTTTCGGTGTTTTTTGTTGTTGAATGTTCAATATACGATTGTCCTGTCGATTCGTTGCAATCTTTAGAATATTTTTTCAACACCATAATTTGAAATTTGGTTGATGTCAATAATGCTGATTGGCTTTTTGGCATAAATATTGAATACTGTAAACATTTAAGGATCAATTAACCGTTTAAGTTTGTTCTTCTAGAAACATAGATAAAGCATTTAAAATTCTGTACATACATTTTACTTTTCATATACAGATTCAGCATACATATGTTTAAAAAAACTATGTATTAAAAAATTAGGGGACCCAAAGTTACCGTCTTCCGGATATATACGGCATTTAAAATGTTCTACTGCAATGATTCGTAATTCTAGATAAAAGTCTGATCATCTCCTTTTCACAGTCTAGAGTTACGCGCACAAGAAAAACCTTAATCATTAAAAAAAAAAACATTTCTCATTTTAATACTAGTTTGTTCAACCTTTCCGTCATTACTTTATATCTAATCACTACTTTCTTTTTTCTCATAAATCATGAATTGATTCAACTTTCAAATGAAGTTGTGAATCAATATACTCTAAAAGGTTGCTAGGAGCATTCAATTTTTTTGCTATTTCTCACTTTGATACACGATGACTAGCTTTAATGTTTTTACTGAAATACAAGTATCGAAGTGATTAAGCTGAAATTTGTTTTGAACGATACTTTTTGCAATATTGTCCTTGATATCTTCTCTCTTATTTATATGTTTACTCCCAACATCATTCGTAGAATACTGATTTTAGTGTGAAGGAGCGTGAACATGAGACCAACCCAGATGCTTTGTTGTATGACCAAACGGAACCATTTCATTATTTGTGCGTTGTGGTTTTGTCGTACAAAATGTACTTTTTGTTTTGTTTGTGTATAATCAGTGTAAACAATTTACAAGTTTGTACAAAATATCCATTCGCCCCTCCAATCGAAGAAAGCATTTAACGGTTATATGTGCAATCAACTGTTATATTTGTGGTTACACATTTAAAGAAAATGAAAGAAAGAATTAAAATGAGTTAAACTTATGTGTGGCGAACAGAAGATTGTGTACAAGATGTAAACAAATGTAAAAGTAAGCTTAAAGCTTTAATTTTGTACATTAAAGAAAACAAGGCCTGTAGCTAAATGGTTTGTGTGTTTACTTAAGTGTAAAAATCCCACACCTTAATGTATCTTGTCCGAATGTTTATGCTTTGTATATATATACAATGAATATAATAGTTGTAAAATGTTTGTCATAATATCAAATCATCTACTGTACATTTGTAACATATAATTATACAATAAAAATATGCTGTAATTAACATTTCCCCCTATTTTTCCTTCTTATTATATAAAAAAAAGAATTTAGAGTGGAATTTTAAAAATAAGAAGATGTGGTATGACTGCCAATGAGAAAACTCTCCCCCAGAGACTAAATGAAGTAGAAGTTAACAACTATATGTCACCGTATGACCTTCAACAATGAGCAAAACCCATATCGCAAAAATAAGCAATAAAACATGTAGACATATGTAGAAACAACCACTGACGAGGTTCTTCTCTTGGGACAGGCATGTGAATATGTGACAGGTTTTATTTAGTTCCTTTTAATACCAACCGTCCCTTTTATATATTCTCGATCAGTGGAGCAAAAAAACAAAAGGTACATATAAAAGAGGGACGAAAGATACCAGAGGGACAGTCAAACTCATAGATCGAAAACAAACTGACAACGTCATGGCCAAAAATAAAAAGACAAATAATAGTACAGATGACACAACATAGAAAACTAAAGACTAAGCAACACGAACCCCACCAAAAACTGGGGGTGATCTCAGGTGCTCCGGAAGGGTAAGCAGATCCTGCTCCACATGTGGCACCCGTCGAGTTGCTTATGTTATTACAAATCCGGTAAATAGTCTAATTCGGTAAGTCACATTCGTGAAAAGGGAAGGGTATTGTAGTTACGACATAAGGAACATAACCGATATCATCTGTGAAACGGTTATTCCATAACGGTCAACCAACTCGTGATGGCGTCCATAAAATTTACGAAGGGATGACTTCAACTTCACCATTTGGAACTCTTGGTTTAATAGCTTCCTTGTGAGCAGCAATCCTCTATCAAGGAAATCATGATAGGAAACACAAGCCCGGGAATATCGTATCAATTGGGAGAAATATACTCCGTATGCAGGCGCTGCTGGAATGTTGCTACATAGAAATGGAAAGTTCACAATTGGGAAGCTGAAATCATCTCTTTTGTCGTAAAGTTTTGTTTTCAACCGACCCTCATTGTCAATTTCTAGATGTAAGTCAAGATATGAGGCAGACTTAACTGTATCTGTAGTATCCTTTATCTCTAGTTCGAGGGGATGGATTCGTTCAACATAGTCACCAAATTTTGTATTATTTAGTGAGAGAACATCATCTATATAGCGGAACGTAGAGTTAAAGGATATTGCTTACTTCTTATCTCTCTTCCTAAGAAGCTCCTGTATGAAGTCAGCCTCATAATAATAAAGAAACAAGTCGGCAAGAAGAGGGGCACAATTGGTTCCCATTGGAATTCCGACAGTCTGTTGAAAAACACGTCCTCCAAACGTAACAAATATGTTGTCAATCAAGAAATCAAGCATCTCTTGATAATGTCAGTTTCAGAGAATTTTTTGTTTGAATCAGAGTGATTCTTTACAAAGTAGGATTTATCCCTCCCCAAGACAAGATACTTGTATCTACGTTCGCCATTCTTTTTAATGAAACAAAGTAATACCAACTCTTTCAATTTGTCTTTTAGTTTGGAATGGGGAATACTTGTGTAAAGTGTAGAAAAGTCAAATGTTTTAATACTATTGCAAGATGAGAGAGTCTTAGATTGTATGTACTCTAAAAGATCTTTGGATTTTTTTAGTATCCACATCTGATTCACGCCACCTCTAGAATAGGCAGTTTCACAATAACTTTGGAGCCCGGCTTTGATTGCTGATAGAATAGATGTTAATAATTTAGAAAGAGGTTTCGTGGAGCACTTGGAAGACCCAGCAATATACCGTTGTTTGTAAGGACACTTATGTAGTTTAGGTATCCAATACAGTGATGGACGATCCAGTTCTTCGTCTTTGGTTGAAATTCCAACGGAACATAGAACAGACCTATGATTATCTAGGATTTCCTCTTTGGTAAGTGTCGTGAGGGTATATGTTGAGTTTCAAAGTGAATTGTCAATACCTAATTCATTTATCAAGCAGTTTATGTAATGATATTTACACACAAAAACGATGTTGTTTGGGGCTTTATCTGCGGGGACAACAACATATTTGTCATGGAGGTAGGACAAGTGTTTTGCAACATTTGGGTCTTTAAAAATTGATGTAGCGTGGGTATTGATATGCCCATTTAGTTTCTTAATTCGGATTTGTATCAACGACCTCACAGCCTTAATCCATTCGGAAAGAGTATCTACGTCTTCTTTCTCGCGTTTAGCCCATTGCCTGGCATAATCCTCGACTGAATCCATCAGTATTTTGAAGTTGTATTTCCAATTGATGGATTTAGGCTCACGATATTTCGGACCTTTGGATAACAAATTTCGCAGGGAAGTGTTATCGACAATGTTGAGGTCTCCGGTAATAACGTGGCCAGCCGGATTATATGTGAATTGGGAGCTAGCACAGGTGCAATCAGGAGGTTTAGACTTGAAGTCGTCAATGTTGAGATCCTGCAAAACGTGTTTGTAATTGAAAATTTTAGTTGCAATTGGTTTGGTATAGGTATAAGAAATTATTGGTACAGACTGATCTTTAAAATAAGGAGGTATTTTCGACTGAACTAATTTATGATGAAGGATATTGCCTAAGTTGACGCCATCGAGACCTTTGTTGGCAAAGGAAAGTTTAAGAAAAGATCTTTTCTCTTTTTCATCTTTTCCAATGCGAACTGGTTTGAAAATTCTGTGACTTGCAATATCCGAAATAATAGCTGTAAGTTTGTATTGGTTTGAATGAGGGTTTGTAACAGTGGTTTCCAAACATAAATTGAACAGAGAATGAAGTTTTGAAAGGGGTAATGAATACAGTTTCGTGCGAATGTGATGAATACCTAACGGCTTTTGTATAAATGGCAGCAAGTCATTAATAGAGACATCATGCAAAGTAGGTGATGTATAATGACGATGACCATGACTGCGTCTACGTCGAGGAGTAGAGTTGAAAATATTCATCACATTCATCATACATATAAAAGAGTATATAACAAAAATCAGTAAAGGATTGACTCTGGCATATTGTATCTTGTCCGAATGTTTATGCTTTGTATATATATATACAATGAATATAATAGTTGTAAAATGTTTGTCATAATATCAAATCATCAACATGTGCATTGTTTCTGCTGTTCTGACCGGATTAGTTCCAGTATCCCTGTTATTATTTAGTGAAATTTCAGCGAAAACGTTCAATAAAAAGTAAACATAAAATAATTGAAATCGACTGTTAGTCATGTTAGTTTCACATTCTACAACTTCACAATCAAAAGTGTAAATAAACATGTTTTTGGGAAGTCTTCTTACCTTCCAAACTTTGATTCATTGAGTATATAATATACGATTCTAATCGACATGAAGTTAAGTACATGGACACGACGTACAACAATAGAGAGACAAAAAATCAGTAAACGATTGTTGAGCTGCCATATTGTATAGGTACATGTGCATTGTTTAAGACTATGTTGTCCTTTGGATGTCTCATGCATATTTTTTGTCGATGAGTTGTTTCTCGTTATTTTACATTTAAGCTGTAATAAATATTTCTATAAGTACAAAATGAGTAAAAAGTGAACATTTTTTATTGTGTATTTTATTATTATTTAAGAGTTGGGCAATTTTCCTATACTTTCGTTTGCTCTTTAAATCATATCTTTATGTTTTTTTTTATCTTTGGTAGTTTCATTTCAGTTTTTTCACAAATTTGCTCTCTTGACGTCTTTTGCCTATTTGACTCGGTTGCTCTCATTGACACATGTTCAGCATCTCTATTCTCCACAAGGAAGCAACATATAACAAAACAGTCGTCGATTTATATTTATTTAATGTGATGTACCATGTACATTTGTAATAAGGTTTAATTTTACAGTTATAGTTTCTTGTTTGAAATTGTATACACCAGAGTTCATGTTACGCTTTAATTCCTATGTTTGACCAGCATTGGCAAGTCTACTTCACAGTAAATAAATATTTCAGTAATTTGGTATATTGCAATTTCTAATGCTACGAATTGCTCTTCATATCTAATTGAAATAGTGTAGCCATTTGAATAGAGTAGGTATTGTGAATAATGCTCTCCTAATGCTTTATAATCACTTGGTTCCCATCATATAGTATTCATTCATTCAACCTACATACGTTTTTATATCTTCTAACAGACGGTTAAAGTTTTCTTATGTACTTTGGATTTTAAGCTCTCAAACGTTTTATTTTTTGGTTTTTCAAAGATGTTTTTTTTTTTACATTGCATGTGAAAATTGTTCTTAAAACTAGTGTTGTACGTACTTTCAAGTATATTGTTGTTTTCTACATAATTATTTGTATTGCAATATCCTATGTATCTAGCAGTTTTGATTTTGTTGTGTACAAATATCGCTTCTTATTTTCAGATACTTCATTAACGAACATGCATATGTTTTGGTCACATAACCAGATCTCAACCAATGTGGTCTCCAGTTTTCTCCCTTTCTGCAATATAATCAATGCTGAAAAAAGGGTATGTATTTAGTTGTGCGGGATGTATGAATATACAGTCACGTCCGATCGTAGTTTGGAAGTTAAATTCGATGCCTCGTTTCGAGAATGTGCCAAGCACCGTGCAATTTAAGGAACATTTGCAACAACTTCTTTGGGGGTCTGTAGGTGGGATGTTGTAGGGAAAAATAGTTTACCAGTCTCCAACATACTCTTTTATCCAGTGACCTCAATCCAACTAGCCCACTTTGCAAAAACCTTCTATTGGATTTATTATTAATTCGTTCTTGTCCTTAATATCCGTAAAATATTTAGCACTGCACATAAACCTAACAACAATCCATCAATCAACAAGATGAGTGTCTTTATCATTGGCCGTTATGATTAATACAATGTAGAATATAGGACTTTATATATTTATAAAGAACCCAAAAATATAGTATAAGAAGGGATTAGTGAGAATTGGTATTCAGATATAAGAAGATGTGGTATGAGTGCCAATGAGACAACTTCCATCCAAGTCAAAATTTATAAAAGTAAACCATTATAGGTCAAAGTACGGTCTTCAACACGGAGCCTTGGCTTACA